TGCTGGACCTCTGTTCGACCCGACGTAACTTGCCCTAACTCAAGTTTTGCGTCTCCCCGACCTGGATTGGCTGATGCTCGAATAGGAGTCCAGTATGTTGATTCCAGTCCCCGATCTAATTGGTTTGTCTCTTCATCGATGGCCTTAGGGGCCTGAGGACAGGCACCAAGACTATATGGCAATTCAGGCCACTGAGTAACTTGAATACCTTATTCATAGGTTTTAAACCCGGAACGTCAATCCATTACCATAGACGACCGGAAAAAAGAGTAGATTAGGATAGATATTGGACACTGGAAACCGCAGAGGTAGCAAGCATGCAAACGAAGGTGTGTACGGTACAGTTCTGACGCCTGGGATCTTCACATAACCGGCTCAGGTGATAGCGTGCTGTCATCTAATCCAACGCGTTTCCAGCCGCCTTTATAGGCCACACATCCATGGAAGTCTACGTTAATACACCGCCGGTCAAACTCCATCATCAATGCATCACAGTTCGACCGTCGAGTTCGACGACGTCCATCGTGTGTTCCACAGCGAGGTGCAGCGGACACGGTGACTTTCGCGTGAATTAGTTTATGGTGGTAGTAGACCTGGGCCGCATCTATCGCACTCTCCCTTCCCCACTCCCCACCTGGACCCAGTGTCAAGACTGAGTAAAGAAGGCCAAATGCGGGGGAGGGACAGGTAGATTGCACGGCCGGACCCGCAACTAGGCGTGCCACCGCACCCCCCTGGTCCACAACACACACTTCACCAGGATTTTAACCGACAACGGCAAAAGAATGGAGACTTGCACGGCCGAGGCCGCACCTAGGCGTGCCGTCGCGCTTGACTCGGATCCCACGGAGTGTGAGTGCCATAAAGGCCACATTAAGAAGGAGCCATTGCAGCCTATCTCTTAGACCACCAACCGGCCACTCCACAAAAAACACACAAAAATGGGCTGAATGCGAGGTCCAAGTTATCCCGTCAGTTTGCTACCTTCCAAGCCACGACATTTAGCGTACCGTAATAACTTCAAGTGAGTCAGTTTGTTTATAGTGAGGAAAATGTGCCGACTCGTCGACCTCACTCTCCCTCCCCATTCCTAGGTTCCAGCCCCTGTCCGAGCCGGTCAGTTGACTGGAGGGGGTAATGGGCGCGCTGGCTGACATGGTCCAGTGACCTTGTCTGTGGGCGCCACATGCACGACCTGGCCCCCCAAACACAAGCACCTGGATTTCACACAACGGGACCTGGGCGGCGCACATCTCACATGCGTGAGAGTGCCGTAGGTCACGTTTGGAAGGAGCCGCTTCAGCCTGGCTTAGTCCGCCACTCCACGCAAACACACACACCACCACATATCTCCTCACCAGTACATACGCAACACAGGAACCCGTCCCCTATCGTTCATCAGAAGCACTCAGCGGACACCTCTGACGCAATTGGGAATCGAACTCTTCGGCTCCTCCCCCATATGACCTCCGCGGCACTCCAACATACGTAAGATCCGAACAGCCCGCACCCTCCTCGTGGGGTCCTTGTATGTTGTGTGGGGGACCCGATCGTGTGTATGGTACGCCTAGACAGGTTGCTTTTAACTGTCAGCCACTGAGCCAAATCTCAGCATCAGTTGGTTATCCGGCTCATACAGTGGACTGGCATTCGGAAGGAGAAAAAGTGAGGTCGACTCCTTCAGCGTATATTCCTCACTATAAACAACCTGACGCACTCGACTCTATCAGGGCGCGAGTTGTGGTCCGGAAGGCTGTCAATCGACACGATGGCCCAGACCTCTTCTCAGGAGGGAGAGTTAGGCTGCCTCTTAATGTGGCTTTTATGGAACTCTCACTCAGTTGGGATCCTGGCCGACCCGTGTTCTTGTGTCGGGAAATCCTAATCCTTTGTGTGCGGACAAGGGGGTGTGATGGCACACCTAGGTGCCAGTTTTCGCCGCGCTTGCCAGCTCCTCCCGCCTACGGTCTTCTTCATTCTGTCTTGACACCTTAATGCAGTAAATCCAGCGCAGGTATGCTATCACTATAAACTAATTTGCGCGCAAGTCGCCTGCCTGCTGTGAGTCACACGGTGAACGTCGTCGGGAAACAACAATAGGACTGTCGCCGTAAAAATGTAGTTCCGACCTTCTTCTCCCGAAGAATGCCCGACAATCGTATTCCGGTATTTCCTGTTTCAATTCAGCGCCTTTGCACAATTTTGATCTTTGGGTTGGCGAGGCTTTTCAAAAATTGTGTCCGGCGTTTGGATGTGCGTCTACAGTCATTTTGCCGACTTGTTTTGCTCCATGGAAACTATAAGGTTCTCGAGACACCTACATGCTTCCAGGACTGTGATCTCGGCGCCATTATGGTACCCCTGTAGGTGCTCAATAAAACAATTTCTTCACTAAGTTACCTCTGTTCTTAGGTGTTACCTTGCCGTCTCTGGAGCTAGAGAACACTGCTGACTGGCTGAAATGGACCACTGCCCACTTTTACCAGCCTTTAGGGGGAGGAGAGCTACTTCTGTTCGGTCACTCTAGCCATGCTGTTAGGCCGCTTTCGCCCTCTAACAGGCACTGACTAGAAATTTGAAGCACTTATTACTCGATATAGAAACGGGCTTTTCCGGAACTGAGTGCTCCGTCATTTTTGGCTGTGGGAAGCTGCTGCACTTGTGGATGAATCGTGCAGGATATCCATGCTTAAGCAGAGTTCCTTTGAAGCATATAAGTTCTGCATTCAGTGTCTCATTAGAGCAAATGTCCCTGGCTCCTTGGAAAAGAGTGTGTACTAAGTTCCGTTCCCATTATAGAGGTACCAGACTCAAGAAATGCATGTATTGCGCCTCCCAAGTATTCTTATGAAAACCGCTTCGCCTTATGGAGCTATCTTTTGTCTAAACACAAGAACGTCCGGGAAGGATAGCTGGTTGTCTTGTTCTTTAGCCATTCATAGTGGTAAGCCATTATTCAGTGTCTTTAATATCATCAACAGTATCGAATACATCATCCACATATCTTTTGTAAAATGGTGTCATGTTAAATTTCGAGGACAGTTTCTCTTCTAGTTGGACTATAAATATATCAGCAAAAGTAGGACCGAGAGAACTTCCCATTTTCACTCTGTCATTTTATCTATCGAATCGAGTTTTGTACCCATACAATGGAAACGGGACGTAGTATACACTCTTTTCCAAAGAGCTAGGGACATTTGCTCTAATGAGACGATGAATGCAGATCTTGTATGCTTCAAAGAAAATCTGCTTAAGCATGGATATCCTGTACGCTTCATCTACAGGTACAGCAGCTTCCCACAGCCTAGATTGGCGGAACATTCAGTTCCGAAAACACCCACTTTTATATCCTTGCCTTTTTAGGGTAACAATATTTTTAATACTAGCAATCGACGGCTGCGTTGCAACTTTGAAGGAACATACAATGCGGCCGACCTCACATTATGCAGTTCTGCTAAGGCTCGTACAATTCCATGGGCGCAAGATGCCCTGTCAAAGCACGCCACTTCAAATTGTGTATATAAATTCACATGCATTGGGGAATGCAAGTACGTTGGGTAAACGCAAAGGCTGTTAGCAGCCAGGTCTTTTGCGCACCTGCCAGAGGGCCTCTAAAACAAGATCCCGCGTTCGTCCATTGCTAAACACCTTCTTGATAACGGTCATTCTGTTAACCCTAAAACAGCCTTTTGAGTACTTGTCCGGACACGAACAACTCGGACATTGAGTTACCTAAAGGCAGCGGATGAAACCGGACCTATGCAAACAACTGGAACATGTGGTCAGTCCTTTCCGTGGTATCCTCTAGCTCCTTGATTTTCATACTGCCCCTTTCCTTTTTGCTCGTTAATACTTTGCCATTATCCGTCCCATATTGTGCTCAAGTTACTAATTTTATCCATTAGCCTGCATTGCCATAGACCATGACCTTGATTTTGCATTGACTTGCCGTACGTACTTAAACTGACGTGTTCCCCACTCGTTAATTATGTTATGGAACGACAGCACGGAACTGATGAGCCGTCGCGCAATTTGTTGGTACCAATGAATCCTGCCTTGCACGCTTGCTTCGAGCGCTGACTAGTTTAACCCATGCATCTTGCTAAAGGGGCACAGGTTAAGCAGCCACACGTCTGGGAGTGGCAGTTAGTAGTGGCCAGCCCAGCCGGGAATCGTCCAGTGTGGGGTGATTCGAGTTAGACGCCCCCTCATTAAATGCGTCGTCTAGGAAGGGCCGTCATGAAGGAATTTTTGTTCAGAGGTGGCCTCAGCGGTTTTGCCAAGTCCACTGGAGTTATGTACCGCTGTGTCTCTGGATTCCTGTTAATTCTGCCACGATGCCCCCAACGTTACCATACGCTCACCCGTACCCTTCCGGACTCACTTGTTGACGACCCTCGTCAGCTGCCCATGACCAACGAACTTCGGCCCTAGATGAGAGTGAACTATGCAAGTACATTAGCTCGAAGAGAAATCTTCAGAGGCAAGTGAATAGCCTATCAGACACCTCAGATTCCAAGTGGACCTTTTGTCGGACTTACTCGCTGCCAACCTCTAAAAGAAATGACACCGTTGAAGTGGCCGTTGCCAAAAGCAGAAAACCGGCCGCAATTATTGCTCCGACCCTCAAGAGGTCTCTTAAGGTTGCGCTTTGACACGATCGGTCACGCTGGCAGCAGGTTTGACCACCTAGCAACTTACCAACCCATTCATCAAAAGGGATTTTGACAGGCGTACCAACTATCCCAACAAAAATGATAAAGGTCATAACGATTATGACTGCCCCAAGTTAAGACTGCCAGTACCTAACCGTCGTAAGCGGACGGATTGAAGTCTCCACTCGAATTGATGCTGGGGCGATTGTAACCAGAAAAACAATTCGTAGGCCGCAAGGGAGATTTTTTGGTTGGATTTGCTGAAAAGTCTCAATTTTGAGTTATTATGTACAAAGAACCGCGTCTATCACAAGGTAATAAGTTTGATATAAAATCGAAATGTTATTAGGGTTGGTAGGCATTCTCCGACTCCGGACCGGGAGTATCGACGGTAATAACTGCCTCGGTAGATTGCAAAAGTGGTCTGGGGTGATAAGTCACCTCAACGACATCATTTTTGCCAGTTCCGGAGGCGTTAACGCCGGTGATTTCGTGCCGGAGGTCAGCAACATGATCAGCATCCCCAGCGTCTACACTCCTCTGGTCATCCTCCGCTTCATCCTCCTCCCCTTCCTCGCTCTCCACCAGATCGTTCAGATCGATCTCCTCCGGGTTCTCGTACTCCGCGTGAACGTCAAATGAATCGCTAGGTCGAGAGCGTTTTCTGGGACTGGGATCAGTAGGATCGTATTCCTCCGTCGTCTCCTCACCCACTGCGGAAAAAAAGAGCGATGTGTCGGGTGAGGTGACGAAGGTTGGTGCATCGACCTCTGAGCCTTCCTGATCCTCTCCGGAGTTTTCGGCAGTTTCACTACGTGCGCCCTCATCCTCATCTCCTGCAGCAGCTGTAGGTGGTGGAGACTTTGCAGGTGGTCGTACCAAATCTTCTTCGCAGGCGTCGTCACCCTCTTCCTCCTCCTCTTCATCGCCAGGATGCATGCGGTTCGCGAGGTCTGCCAGGTTGTAGGAATCACGGCCTAAAAGAAGGGCGTTTGGGTTGACGAGTTCCAACATCGCGCAGAGGAGCTCAGTTTGCGGATTGGAGAAGAGCTGCTGTTTGCGGGCGCCCTCCTCAGCCAGCTGTGCTAAATTAGGGCCGCCGCCACTCTGGCGGTTTCGGTTATTCATTTTGTTTGCACTGGTAGTTAGGAGGTTCACGTCTGTGGGTTTGTAGGCGGGAGCAGTGCGCTCAAAGTTTTCCGGAATAGAGAAGGTGCCGGCAAACGGTTCCCAAAGTTGCTGCAGGTCTTCAGTACTCGCCACATATGACCGCCTAACAAAAAAGGGCAAAGGAGTGAATAGAAAAGGACGACCTTCGAGACAAGGCTCGAATAAATTAAGGCAAAGAAAAATTTCCAAAAGGGTGGCTAAAATGACTAATTCTGGTCAGGCGGGGATAGACCCGTGCCGGCGTCCGCTTTTTTGACCACTGTCATGAATGCTCTACTATCTACCCATGGTCTCACCCCCGTCGGCCGCCATCTAAAATACCCAACGTCACATCGGAGCGGCGCTCATAATCTATCTTGACTGCAAAACAAAATACAGAGGTTTCGTTTTGCCGGTCTAGATCCCGCACAGGCAAAACGGAACGTCCGTATTCTATGCCCCAACCAGGAGGGATCAAAAGGACTGCCACCCAAATGGCCATAATTTCAATCTAAGAGGATACTTACATCGGACACATAAATGCCCACATTAGAACGGAAGGAACGGCTAACAAGCAGGTTAAGAGCCCACATGCCACCGAACAAAGGTTTCGATTCACGGACTAGCACTGATCAGGGACGGCCGCTGTGCACGCCAACTGGATATCACTGGCGCACAAGTTGGAAAACATCAACCGGGGCAGTGGGGTGCTAACCACTTAAAAGGACAATGGCAACTGTCCACCTCCGTAAACAAGCGAAACTGCCCTCGAAGGAATGTAGGGAGGTTAAATGGCAGGCCTACGCAAGGGTTAACTGACTAAGCTCTAGCGGCACACAGTGGCAGCATCAAGAACAATTTCTCCAATGTGTGAAGATAGGTATTGGGGGTGATGCTGTGGATAAAGTCGCGTTAAAACTAACTTACGCTTCCACGAAAGGAGGGAAAGAATGGAGTAATAATAATCACCAGACATGGCCTATTAGACAGTACACGCTTGGTAGACAATTTTAAGGAGGCAACTTCCTGTCAGAAAGTAAAGAACGGATGATGTGTAGTAGGCGAAACATACGCTGGTTTGCCATCCTGACCCGGTAGGATAGAGGGGATCTGAGAAAGAGACATGAGATCGTTGGTGGCCCTGAGGACGCACAGCCACTCGGGGTCAAGGCAAAGGGAGGGTGGCTCAGGGGGATCAGTAGAATCCTCGGAGGTGGATGACGGTAGGCTGACGATTAGCGGTGCCTCCTCATGGGGACCGCAGACGAGACCGTCGGCAGAGTAAGTGGCAAAGTCTGGGTCCGGATCAATGTCCAGGAACTGAAGGTAATCCCGAGAGGGTAGGCACTTGTCCAGGGCCAGAAATCTGGTGACTTCGCGCTGCGGATCCTTAGGCAGGAGGAGAAGGTAGTGCAAAGGCTTTGTGGCAAACGAGGTGTGGAGATAAGGCAGGACATGGGATAAGGAATTTCAATATGGGGCATGTGAGAAGCGCGTGCCCTGGCCCATTAGTGCCTGAAAGGTAGGCCAATCGTTGGATGAACACCTCTAGGCCCCCGCTCTGTGGGCTGGCCGGATAAATCTTACTCAAGCAAGACGTGCTATATACTCTGACGTAGAACCGAAATTAGTGAAGTAGACGTTAGAATTCGGTTCCGACTAATTGCTGCGAGAGAATCCGCAATATCAATAACAGGTTGAACAAAGCCCAGGAATGAGATGTGAATAACATATGTTACTGCACAGACGGTAGCGGTATTACTTCCAAATAAAGGTTACGCCGGCTACCCTAAAAAAGATAACGTCTTTATCTTACAGGCTTGCGATGTTTGTAGGATGTTGGATATTTTTCGAGCGAGCGGAGAAACAGATTATTTTATTGTATAACTTCTGTAGCAAATTGCATCTCCCTGTAGATAACCAAGCGAGGTTATGTAGTAATTTGGCCAGCAGCCACACAGCGGCGCGTGATATAAGCTCTCGAGAGAGAGCTCCAAGGCACAACGGCACGGGTTCGGTAGAGCGATTGGTGAGCACCCTTCTGCCATTGTATATACCCGATCACGACCGACGGGACAACGAGTTCGCGACTCAGTGACTAGGTGCGTTGGACTTCTAACCAACAGGCGACAGGGTCGAGCTCCAGATGTTCCACACCTCGGGTTGGATATGCCTAGCTGATGACAGCTAATAAGCCAGAGATGACCATTCCAGTCCCCCTTGTCATTTTCGATAATGCTACTCGACCTATATTACGCGCCGCTGCTGGCTGGGCTCGAAGAGAGTGCCCCAAGGCACAACGGGACGAGTGAGTTCCGTAACACGATCGAAGCGCTGGTCAACAATTCGTCGCCGCATACTGAGACGACGCCTTCCGTCTTTTGTGATAGCCAATATTACTCGGGGGGAAGGGTTATGAGGCAATATTCAAGCGCCTACCGAGTGCGCGACAACGGCGGCAAACTTGCAGTGCAAATGGGCCGAGAACCAGTAGCGTGGACGTAGACGACAAAGTAACTGCTCCCCAGGCGGACTGCCCAGAGTATTTGCGTCGACCTCCTCTCTGAAGTGTCGCTTCCTTTGCAACAATTCTTTCGTCTCGCCGTAATTGTAGATGCCGCGCGGCCAATCGTGGCTCAGCACAATGTCCACACGGCGCGCCAGCTGGCCAAGTCGAAAAACTTCTATTGAACGAAGGTGGTACACTGACCGTTTGGTCGCCTCTGAGTAAGGCGATCGCTCGAAGTGTCCCATTGGATAGTCATGTTGTTTGTAGATACCTGAGAGGCCGGCGATGCGTAAGCCGGCAAATTGAACGACTCCCGCATAGCCTGAAATAAAAGAAGAGGAAGGTATGTGTGGGAGTGAGCTCGATTCCTCTGTTGGAATAACTGTCAGGAAGCAGGGAAATGTAGACTCATAGGCTTCCCCGAGCGCGCATTCTGTTGACTTACCCATGTACCAGATGTTTGGTGCCACCCAACCACCATAGGGCAGCTCTTGGAGATAGCAGGAAGCCTCATGATTGCCGCCGACGAAGACTGTCGGCACGGGAGCGGTCACTTCTTCGGAATAATATCTAAATATATGTACGCATACGTGCATAGGTAGAGTCAAAATTCGTGAGCGTAAAAACGACGCAGAGTCAAACGTGCGATTGTCACAAGTTGAAAACGTGGCGACCGGAAAATGTCCCTCAAACCGGAGCTCGTCTGGCAATCAATTATGTTACAGTCAGAGACCGATCTCATGAAATTTTGGCCGAAATTGTAAAATGCGTACTCAACTAGGAAGGATTATTTAGGTGGAGTTGTGATACTGACTATTTTCCAACATAATGCCGTGATATTTCAGGCACGCCAGGACGCTGATTTTTGAATGCACTTCTTTTTGGCCGCCTGTGATGACTTCAATCAGTAAAAAAACGACTACTTAGTTAATAGGGATCTTTTTTATTGATTTTCGATGCCCCTATAAATTTAAATATATTTTGTTGGAAACGTGCACAAAAATACTCTTTGTTGTGCTCATTTGGTAGCAAATCACCGCTTCTTCCAAAGGTTATATTCGAAGAAAGGGCGCCTTTCGGTTTTGAAAGTTTTTTAATTCCAGAATAACTCTGAGCGTGATCTGCCGTTGGACTAGTTTACTAGCTGTATACTCTCCGCATAAAGAAAAACATTAATTCTTCTATTCCATTGAGTAGGTGCCATATCTGGTTCATAAACTTTCGCAACGGATGTGGACTATGTTGTATACCTCATAAGGAGCATTACTGAATATATACATACAATGCTATTTGGACGGACATTCTACAGGCTTAAAAAAATCTCATTATCAAAAACTTTTAAAATCGAAAAATACCCTTTCTTCGAGCATACAATTCGGAAGAAGGTGTGATTTGACACCAAATGAGCATAAGAAAGAATATTTTTATTCACGTTTCCTATAAAATGTATTTGAATTTATAAGAGGATCGAAAATCAGTATAAAAAATGTCTATCACCTAAGTAGTCGTTTTTTGCCGGTTGCAATCATTGCAAGCGAGACTGTTAGACTTCCTGTGCAATGTTCATGCTAGTCATCAGGCAAAGTTACAGTTCAAATGGGTCCTCCAAGACTGAACTTTCTCTGATGTAGCAGAGTGCATAACATTAGGGACCGGTAGTGATTTATCCGTGGTCCAAAATCGTTTGAGTGCAGACAAACTCCGTGAAATGAGAACCCGTACCTTTAGCAAGCACAGTTCGGTCGGACCGCCATCCAGAGGCAGTGCCCTGGGTAGGTTTTCACTAGTACTACCAACTATGTAAAGAAGCGGGATATCGCTCACTCTTCAGGAACACCAATAGTCATGAACGTCAACGACAGTCTCCCAAACACCTACTATACACGTCAGTCCTGGTGCAGTGGACTCAACGCAGACACAAACTTTGTAGTCGCAGCCTTTTTGAAGCAAGAAAGGAAGATGTTTGACACACCTATAAAAGTCCCCCATTCGGTAGAATTTGGGCGGCACACTCATGGAATGTAGATCAGCTGGATTTCGTAGGGACTGGAAATCGCCGCAGCAGAGCACCAGCTCCGTCCTGGTCGACTGCTCTCGATCCACATTGGCGATGTCCTCGTATACTTTGTCCAGTTCGCCGTGCAGACAGCCGACCACACATACTCTTACCATGTGCAGAAAAGTCCCACGGGTGGGGGCAGCTGCGGCTGCTATAATCACAAGTTACAAGGAATTTGTGTGCGGTGGGAGGGGGTGATTATGTGCAGTTATGCAAAGTGGCATCGGGAAAAATTTGGAAGTTAATAGAAGGTTGCGAATTGAGGATCGCTGGACGCGAATAAACTGACTGAGACTGATCCTGTGACGGCACCAGTAGCTGGCACTCTATTCAGAGCACAGACGGCTGGTGCGTTGCGTAAGTCCGACCCTACGTTTTTGAAGGGCAGCTCACACAGGCCCTGTAGGCAGTAAAAGTAGTATAGGATTAGAAGGAGCGCATATATTCCTTCCAACCACTACAGATGAGAGGACATACTATGCTGTCCAACACTTCTTGGCCTTTTAAAGGACAAGTGCACAGCTACAAGTTGTTTGCTAGTGCAAGTTGCTGGACAGTAGATTGTACTTAAACAAGAAAAACAGTGTTGGCAATCAGAAACAGGTAAAATAGGCCGTTTCCATGGGATCACATTGCCCGAGATCAGGCTGATTAAGTCTGATCTCATGGGTAACAGGTAGTTGATGAAGTGTTGACAACTAGATGTTAAAAAAAGCAAACAGGTGAGGAAGACTCTTAAGGTATACAAATTAACGGTGGAAATCAAAATCAAAATTTGTCGTTTGTCTGAGAAATTGTAGGCAAAAACTATAATGTTGTTTTGGCGAATTCAACGTCCCATTCAAGAAAAAATAAGTGACCTTGAATGTGTGCACGGAGTACCAAGAAGCAGGTAAGACGTTTAACAGTAATCGGTGAGGGAAGCACATGATTATTACCTGCCCAAAAACATTATGCGAGCCCTCTACTAGACATGCCTATATAATGTCATGAGATTTTGGAATTCGAGTTTAGCCCAGTGAGTTAGGCGGTGTGAACAAAGCTAGCCTTAGGTAACCCAAAAAAACCACCACTTTCACAGCACTGACACTCGTATAATTACATCTTTGCAAGTCTTTTGCATGGGCCTGATTGTCTAAGTGGATTCGACGTAGGTGATGCGTGAGTACTTAACGAGGTACAACGATGGCACGTCCAAAAAAGGGAAAGTCGCGCCCAGATCGACCCCTTACACTCACCGCCTCACCGAACTAAGGAATCAGACAAGCACGGCAAGACAACCTTGATGTTGGGGTGGTGAGGTGGAAGAAAGAAAAAAGCCCACTGGATAACAGGATTATCCACTGTCTCAATGGGGAATCAAGGCACAGTGGAAAGAGCCGCTACGCGGGGATAGCGCAAAGTACTGGAGAATAACACTGCTCTATACGCCAAAACACTCCTGCAAACACACGTTTTCAAACGCACGTATTGATCCAAAGGTCTTTTGTAAAAGAAGATTAAGTTCAGTACTACAAACACGTGTATATCATTATTGTTTTCATTGTTACTAGCAGGGAAACGCCAGGAGTGGCGAGGGCATATAAAGAGCATGGCATAAACAAATGCGGGAACAACGGGCAGAGGCAGTTGTAACAGAAGCTGTCTATCTTGTTCAGTGGACAGGGGTGTTTGTAAAACATTTGCTGAAATGTCATCGACCGCCGCCGTAGCCGCCACCAGGTCTGCGGCCTCCAGATTGAGGACCACCTCCGTACCCGTAGCCGCCACAGCCATATGGTCCCATCATTGGGCCTCCCATTGCGCCACCGCGGGGTCCCCCCATGGGCGGTGGAGGTCCGTTGCCGTAACCACCGCCTCGATAGCCGCCTGCACCACCACCGCCAGGTCCATACGGCTAAAGAAGCAGAAATTTTGCGGACAGATGGGTTCATTACCCCTCACCCAACAACGCAGTGAAAGAAGAAGAAGAAGAAGAAGAAGAAGAAGAAGAAGAAGAAGAAGAAGAAGAAGCCAGAGATAGGAGATGATCTCTATTGACAGGAAATAGCATACCTGGTGGTAACCACCAAACATTTGATTTGGCGGCATCATACCGGGTTGATGCATGCCCGGACCCCCATGTCCTCCGTCGTACGGGCCCATGTTTGGCGGTCCATAGTCGTAGTTGCCACCCCAGCCACGCGGCGGTCGGGGCGAGCTGAATGTGTGGAAGGCAGAAAGTAAGTGGGCTTCAAATGAAGCAAAAGAGCTGCTGACATTAGGCCTACGCCAAAATTGTACACGACCTAACGAAAACAGAAGAACGTAGAGCTCGAGGGAAGCAAAATAGCCCAAAGAAACGGGATGTCAGCCTACTTGGCTTGATTCCTTTGGTCACGCCGCATGAAGCCGGCGGTGGTGACGGACCCACCACCCTGACGAGACCGTGATCGAGATAGTGAGGATTGTGATTCGGTGGGCGACTGTGATCTCGACCTAGATCGGCTGCGGGAACGACCCCGATCTGAGCGGCGATCTCCGCCGTTATCGCCAGATCGGCTACGTGAGGAGCGGGACCGTGATCGCGAGGGAGATCGTGACCTGGACCGGGACCTAAAACCAAATTCGCAGTTGTTTTTTTTTAAATGCAGCTCAAGGTGAGATATACCAAATTATCAGACAAATGTCGTAGTAAATTTCACTACCACTAAAAGACGAACCCACCCGGATGACCGAGACCTCGAAGGCGAGCGAGAGTAGGAGCGGGACCTCGAACGCGACCTTGATCGGGAGCGCGATCGACGACGATTGTCGAAACGACGATAGCTCACGGAGTCACGTGTGAGTAACTGCGTCGGAGGTCCAGTTGCTGGTGTGGGCCCAGGTATGGGTGGCGGGGGGAAGTTCATGTAGCCCACAGGCGGCGCAACAGCCGTTTGTGACGGCGCGAACGTACTTGATGGCAGAGCAGAGGTGCGATCCGCGCCCGACGGTTCGCCGCTAAAGTTGGACGATGCTGTGGAGTTGGCTGGCGCTATGAGAGAATGGTGACCGCCGTCCGCCGGCACGGCAGATTTCAGGCCAAAGTTGGGTGGTGGAACAGCAAGTAGAGCAGCCGGACCGGTTCGTATGGCCTGGCCGATGGCGGTGACTGGGTAGGCAGTTAGGTAGGCCAAATGCGGTGGACCTCGACTGTTGGCACCGGAAACAGAACGTCGATCAAACATACGGAAGGGATGAGCGTCCGGGTTGTCGTCATCCTCCCTCTCCTCTTTATCTTTCTTCTTGTCGTTGTCGGCTTCATCTTCGTCTTCTTTTCGCTCTTCAGATTCACTAGTTGTCGTGTCGGAGATGGCCGCACTGCTGCTACTGAGAGTTCTGACGCGCTTGGACTCTTTTCCGGCAGCCTGCAGTAGACCAGAAGTTCAAGAAGTGTAAACAAACCGGGCACAAAATTCTACTGCCAAGACAATCATTTATCAAAATGAAATGCATCAGAGGGTGGGACGAAGGACAGAAATTCATGAAAAAATGGAGCACGGAACAGTACCTTTGGCTTCTCCCTTTTGGAGTTAAGTCGTTGACGCGCCTCTTCTTTAGCCCGGTAGAACTCATAAAGACCCAGTTGCTCCCAGCCCTCTGGATCTCGTGGCCGATCGTGTGTGGGCGGCGAGTAGAAAGCGTCTATAGCACGAAGCAGATGCTCCGAGGGGGGTTCCATCGGCAAGAGACGCAGTTTGCTGGTGTCCAGAGGCTTAAACTCGAAGTCTCGTAATGCTATAAGAGAGTGCATCAGACCGGCGGGCAGCTGCCAGTGCGGTACTTTGGGAACGAGGTCGCTGGGGGAGGGTGCCCGAGGAAGAGGTGGAGGCAAAGTGGCTGGTGCCTGCTGAGCCTGTTGTTGCGGTGCTGCCGCTGCCGCTGCTGCTGGGGGTGTCGGTGACGGTGCTCGCGGGTGGTGTTGTTGGTCAGGTTCCAGAGAAGAGGGCGAGTCGCGTCGCATTGAGGCGGGTGGCGGCGATCGGCCTGAGTGACGGCCTGCGCGGTGATCCCAGTCACGACCTTCGTATGAGCCGCCACCTCCCTCTGGGTACCGACGTGAATAATGGTAGCGATCGGAGGGGCGATATTCATCATAGTAGTCATCGCCTTCGTAAATGCCACCTGAGCAAACAAAGTTTATAGGTAACTCAAAAAAATTCTGGCCGGTCAAATATAAAGAGAAGTAGAAACACCCGTAGGCGCACGGATTTCAAAGAAAAAAGCACAGCATACCGGGCCCGTGCGCCATTTCTGCACGATGCCGATCCCGGGGTCCGCCGCGATAAGGACCTCCACGCATCTCGTAGGAGTCGTAGTGACCGTCATCGTCAGTGCCACCCCTGTAGTACATGTCATCGTCACCTGGGCCACGACGTGGTGGGTAGCCGGCCGGGGGATAATGCCAGCCTTCAGGATCGCGTGGTGCTGGCGGCGGAAAACCGGGTGGACCGTCAAAGTGTCGGGGGGGATCGTAGGCACCAGGGGGGTAGCGGTCGGAACGCTCGCCCGGAGGTGGGAGGTATCCAGCATTGTTTATCGGAGGAGGACCGCCTGCAGACATCCACGGGTGAAAGTTAGGGTCCTGGGTAAGACAAACGGGAAAACGAAAGTGTGTTAGGTCCGCGAGGTTATGTGAGGATGAGTGCTGAGGTAGAACAAGAACATCCTGGCGGCTTCGGTTCTGAACATTTAAAAAGTAGCATGGTAGGTAGCATGAGCTGCAGATACCGAGAAATCCTTCACATATATACGCTGCTGATACTTTATACTGGCGATGCGACACCATGCCGCGGGCTGCTGCATCTATAATGGGCACCGTTGTAGTGGTGGTTGTTGCCATTGCGGGCCGACTACTGCTTACTTTTACCTTTGGTTGGTACCACGCTGCCTCTCTCATTTTCGAAGCATATTAGTTCGCCGGACTTCACGAGGAATAGCAGCACTTGGGGGAAAACAAGGTTAACTTGTGCGTGAGAGACTTGAACATAATCGGCCCTAATCTCTCTTCCCCACACCCATCGTGCTCCAATGGTAAGACTGGAGAAGGGTGTGGGCGCACAGAGAGACTCACATGCATCGGTGGACGGTCAAATGGCAGAGGAGGTGGTGGAACATGCTCCTCTACGCGGAAATCCTCGGGTTTTCTTTCTGACTCGGAAACATTGTTCCTCACATCCTCAGTGTTTGGTTGCTGAGAGCTCTCGTTTACACCCTCCCCTGCCTTGCCGCCCGTCGCTGCGGAAGATGCCGTTTCTTCGCGCGCCGCTATGGACTTGCGAACATGTTCCGCGAATTGCTCATGCTGCTTTCGCATTGACTCGTAGCGTTCGTTGTGCTCAGACTCAATGGCCGCGATCCTGGCTTCGCAGATCTGTTCAAGGTCAAGGGGCAGAAGGTGGTAAAGTAGGACAAATCAGACAGTAACCCACAAAAAATCGGCAAGGCTACATCATTGGCAAGCGCGGCAAATAGATATATGAGCAGAAACGTACACAGACAGCAGCGGCAGCAGTAGTAGTAATAGCGGCGTGGCGGTAGCAGTAATGATAGTATAGAGCGACCCATAAGTGCCTTTACACTTAAAAATCGAGTAAATGTTTGTTTGGCTATGTTTATTCGCCTTTCTAATGATATGGAGTACGAAAACAGGAATTTTTAACCATGTAGGGAGAATAGTGCCGCGCAAGTGATCTCCCTTCTCCGATTCGAGGCGCAGGATCTTTTTGAGGTATTTTTAGCAATGATTGAACTTCACCCTGAATATTGCCCTATTTGACGCAGGAATGCTTCAGGCTTATCAATATACATCCCATCCCATGGGCAGTGAGTCCCATGGAAAAACCCCCAATGCCGTTAAACCGGGCGAAAATGGAGGCGTCAACTGAAATCTGAATTTTGCGAAATTATTTACTTTTTGAAAGCCTATCTTATTAGCTGCACTGTAGGGCAATTACTTTGTCATGCCGCCATCATATTCTGTTCTCCATTGCAGGGCACAAAAAATTTTCCAGCACTGATCGACACCAACCGTCGGTCACTGCAACTGCATTTCCATCTCCTTCCTCAAAAAAGTAATGACCAGATATCCTGCCGTGACCCTGACAGGGTGCAATTCATGCCCATGAATGGATGATGCTTCAGAAGCTGGCATTCTGTCTATTTACAGAGTTATTCAGCCGAAACTGGGACTTATTCCCTGCTATCAACCTGTGCATATAGCGCCATCGTCCTCCCTAACGATCTACTGAACTCGAATTACGCAGTTTAATCGCTGTTCATAATCTGTGGACTCTAATTCTGGCACCGATAGCACCTTGTGTAGGTAAACGTTAATGGTAACCAAAGCTTGATTCTCAGTTAGCATGTTTAAATATGTTTTCGAATGCTGCAACGAAGTCAGTTAGACTTCAAGCTCGCAAGAACGTCTCCCAGTAGATGTCCCTAGTTCCTCCTGGATGCTACGGCAATGGAGCGCTGTTTCTCCAACTAGAATTCAATAATTTATACGCAATACTAAAACGTGAACTTTCCCATAATTCTAAGGAATAACTTTTCAACATTCGAAACAAATAGGTAAAAAAACAATGTCGGAAAAATTATTATGTTTCTGAATGTTAAAGCGGCTCACAGGGTACCCGACAGTGACGGCAATAGTGAAGTTGCCTAGCTGCTATTGCTGTCGTAAAATGCGTCATTATCGTTCTTCAACTGGCACTGTCCGGAATTCCCTTCTTAGCTTTAGATGTCACAAAAAACGAAAATGAAATCGTATTGGCGAGAGCAAAAGCCTCTAAAAACCCAAGTTACTAGTTACTTTTGATTTTGGAAAACTACATGGGTTTACGTTCAATGAACTTTTACGTTGAAAATTATTAAAGCGGAAAGTGAGCAGGCGGTGGATGGCAATGACTAGTCGCAGGCTGACTGTAAGTGAAGTTTTTTATAAAGTACAACTGCGAGCGACATGTAGGCCTCTCACCTGCTTTTGCTCTTCCTTCCACTTGCGAAGGAATTCATCACAGTCCGGCAACCGCATATTTTTGAGGACATCCGGCGGTAAGTAGCCGTTCGTGTCCCACAGATCAAGCACACGCGTCAATTTTGCCTGTTTTTCATTGTCAGCCATTTCCACGGCCAGGCAGTATATTGGTACGACGATTTTGTGAAGAGTGTCCTACAAAGAGCAATATCACTGCTGAACGTGTACAACAAGCGTGTCACAAATATTTTTTCTGATCAGGTAAAAGATCTTTCCAGGACGGCGACAGGCATAAGAAATCGTAACTAATTAGGAACCTTGGCAGATTTTTTTTAAATCTTCTCGGAGGCTGCCAGAAATTGTCAGAAGGGCCAAATGTTGACGGCCGGTGTTCTTTATAAAGTAAGCAGTTACGGGTTTCTTTTGCTGTAAGCTATCAGTCATACGTAAAAATTACCCTATGCACTTTCGAATCCCACACCTGTCAAGGAGGAAAAGCTCATGGCTACTTTCTCAGAAAGGCTGTCTACCAGGGCATTCCGGCAAAGAGCGTGAGCTACTTTGATACTTACGACCTCTCTTGCGATCTCCAGAAATATCCTGCATTCCCAACTTCAAGAAGGATCCTACTTTGCTCTCATACCAATAAGTAGAACGTAGGGTTACCACTGGATTCATCTGGGCCTAGAATTTCCGGGGAACCCCATGAATCAGGTGAACGAGAATACCAGTATAAGCCATCCAGCAAGAGACAAGATTGACATCTTTACATTCATTCAATAGTTTGACCGTATATTCGCCACTTTTGAGGACAAAGTGATGATCTGTAAATGAATATTTTTATAGTGAATCAGACCTGCGATGCATCCAGTTCATTCATTATTCTCACATCAACTATGCTCCGCTGAACATAGCGACTGGAGACGGGCATGGGCGGCGTGGCTAGCAAAATGAAGGGTCCGGCCACGCGTTCCACTCACTGCCCGGTAACTAAACTCATGGGTACTAGGATACAAGGGAGAGCTTGACGAAGGAGACACGATCGTCGGGAAAAGACCTTTATTAGCCTGACGTTTCGGATTCCTACTCGAATCCATCATCAGGGGCAAAAAAGCAGAAACGGGTGGTTGTTGCACAAGGGGCTGCGGTATTTATAGGATGCATTAGCCATGCTACCGCATACCTATGAACATTTACGGCTCCCCCCTTCATCCGGGATCGTCGCACTTGGTGTGATCATTGCTTGAACATCGTGCAAGTGGGTAAATGGTCACACTAAGGGAGCCGTTGCAACCTGGCCCTCGGCCGAGTTCCTTTCCAGCCATAACTGTTAACATGTGACAGCTTAAAAGCGTATATCGTTGCTAATAAGGAACTAAGAGCAGGGCCCGAAATTGGTCGAGCACACTCCCTCGTTCCTCTTCCATGTCCCAGTGACAAGCGCCTAGAGACGGAATTGTGCGCGGTTGCAATCGTTCAGGTCACAACTCTTAGTGCATCTTGAGTTTCATGTTTATCAGGTTTATGATGGACAATAACGTGCCAAATTTCGATGAAGAAAGGTGCCTTGACATCAGCTTCTCTCTCTCGTCTCCCAATCGCCGGTATTGGCCTGTCAGCCAGCTGATGACAAGACTGGAAGGTGTTTAACGCAAAGTGAGCCCTTGTCTAACGTGCACGATATGCACGCATGGCTATTCTTCATGGTCCCACACAGACTCAGCACGGCCAGAGTAACACATGCCATGAGTCAGTGCAGCGGCGTAGCTCCAACCGCCCCTCACCTCGATCGTCACGTTTTTCTACAAGAGCCATACGTGGGTGTTGGGTCGGGTCATTTATTCGTGCAGGACCCTCTTTTGCATCCTACGGAGGTAGCAAGTAGGCGCAACAGGCATGTCACTTGATATCTCAAGTTGGCATTTCGGTAAAGGAGAAAAGTGATTAATTGCCCCTATTATTTGACGGTATAAGTTAAGTTGGCAGAAAAACTTACCTGAAAGTGGGATGTCACACCTCGGCGCTTAATGTGGTGGAGAAGGTCATTCAACAAGTAAACAATGTGCAAGCGAAGGTCGAAGGTGGCGTCTGTGCTGGCCACACGATAGAGTAAATATTCTCCCATCAGACTTGTGAGATCCTCACTTTTTGACATCTGGTCCACAGCCCAGTTCTTGCCCTTTGCAATGTTCTCTTTGGTGCAGGATTCAATCAGGGGCTGAACTACCTGAAATGGCAGCAAAGGGACTGTAATTACAAAAGAATTTTGAAGCGGATAATTCGAATTCCTATACGAACGTGAATGATGCGATTGGGGCATAAAATAACGTTGTTACTTAGATAAAACTCGTAGGTCTGCTACTCTTGAAAGTAGCAACTACTTTCTCGATGCAAAATACAGGAAGCTGAGGAGGTCACAGGCCTGGGTAGTAGGACAGTACCGAACGGCGGACCTCATGATTCGCGCAGGTTTACTTACTTGTACTCGCACTTAGTACGGCTGTGATCATGTCTGATTTAGCCGGCCTCGATGATATCTCGAACTGTACCTCCCCATGCGTAACGATCCAAGGCAGCAGATCTAGACAGCTCAATCCGTTCTCTTCACCAACGACGGAGACCGAATACCGAAGGTCCGAGAACCACCTCCATGTCCTGATGAACTGTCTCGAGCCAGCATTTGAGTTGACCCCCTCTTCAACGCCTCCAATGGAGTAACGGTGCCGGATCGAGGGTAGTAACACTGAGATCCTGAGGTGAACGACGAAGAATATTCCCAAACCACCTCAGTCGCATGTTTGGATGGCCACAGATAACCTTGCGATATTGTCGCGGCGAGTGCGGACTGTCTCATTTGAGACGAAGTCGGTGTACTTCACTCGAAGGATCGTCTCCAAGCAGTGGTGCTCAAATACTCCCAATTTTTCGCCCGTCCTCCACGCGCACAGGCCAGCATTCACAAACATAGAGAGGGACAGACCGGACAGATGCATGATACGCGCGAATCTTAGTGGCGATGGAGATTTCACGTCGGATTCATGGGCATTTTCTAAAGCTTAAGACCCGGCGGGCAGCATAAATTCGGGAGACAATTTCGTCCTCACTTTGTCCATTCGGTAGCAGCCTTGCCTTGAGGTATTTAAAACGGTCTACTTCTTCAAATTTACAGCCATCAGTCCCGAGAGGTGCCTTCTCCTGGTCAGGGATGCAGCTTGAAAACACTTTAGTTTTCCCAGCGTTTATGGATAAACCGACCGATTTAACGGTTTTATTTACCCGTGACACCACAGACTGCAGATCACCAAAACTTGCGGCAAGTATGGTAATACTACCGGCATAATCGAGACCAGTCAGTGGGCTTCCGGGTTTAAACTCAATACCGTCACCTCCGTATAGGGTCCTACCGAGTTTAGTTGAGCAGAATGGGCGGCAGGATGCAACCCTGTCGAACGCCAAGACCTAATATCAAACGGTCCGGAAAGATTGTTGTGGATTAGAACTCTCGCAGTGGTTGATCGATAATAGGCCTTAAGCATGGCGATAGTCTTGGCGGTACGCCATCTAGTGTCATTATCCGCACACGAGGAACTCACGATGGACGGAATCGAAAGCGGCAGCAAAGTCAGCAAAGTAGACGGCCGCCGGTTGCTGGTAGCTATGACGAGATTCGAGAATACGCCTTCGTGTGAATGCCTGGTTCGCGCATCCACGTCCAGCACTAAAAACGGCTTGCTCAGGCCTTGTCCTATAGTCACGCACAGCCTGGAATCGCCTGAGTAGGACGACGGCGATGACCTTCGGAGCGACGTCGATGAGGCTCACGCTGCGGTAGTTCTCGCATCTTGCCTTGAGGATAGGTACAAGGATCCTTGAACCCCAACGATCGGGAACAACCGCGTCTCCCCACGCTTGTTCAATCACCTCACTGAACCAGGGCACCAGAGTATCGACACAAGATTTGTAGATTGCAGCGGGTATATCGTTCCCTCCGGGTGCCTTGTTGTTGTGTAGCTTTCGTATGGAATAGGCGATTTCTCCTTCAGAAGGGGGTCGTATGACACTGCACAGTTTGGAGAGGGAAGAAACTCCGCTCCAGAGGAGACCAAGGGCGTGGTGGGTTAGGTATCGAAGCTGAGATGGTGTTCGAAGTGCCCACGCAACGCTCGATTGTGGCCGAGATGTCGGCAATAAGGGCGCCATTCACGTCGCGAACGGAGCCACTCTGTGTAGAGGGTTTACCACTATCCTGGCAGATAGGTTGGTAGAGTTTTCGAGTGTCACCAACGTTCGAGACCTGTTCCATTGTGGTCGTTATTTCAGCTCAATATTGCTTCCGGTCATTCCTTGTCGACCTTACCGTAATCTTTCGAAGTCGGCGGAAGGAATCATCATTACGGGATCTAGCTCCAGCCGTCAGAGCAGACAACTGCAGGGTTCTTACGTTGATCCAGTCACTGCGGCGTGGCTGGGTATATCAGAGGATATTATCAGCTGTCCCATAGACTGATGTTTTCGGTGACGACCACTGGTTACTGCCTTCACTGTCGACTCGGGTCGTAAAACAGGACCGTGCCAGAGTTTTTTGAAATCGAGGCGTCTAGGACGAGGCACTTTTGGCGCGGGTGAGAGGCGAACTTTCAAGTGTGTACGAACGAGGACATGGTCGGACCCATGGGCGTTACCATTCTCCGCACCACGCATCGCTCTGCTATCGTGAACCCAGCTGCGGAATCTTGAGTTGACTGGGATGTAGTCAATCTGGCTGGCCGTATGACCGTCGTTTGAATACCAGGTCAGCAGATGTTTCTTGCGATGCTGGAAGCACGTGCTGATGACAAGAAGTCGGATCTGATCAGCGAAGCTCAGCAATCTCTCGCCATTTTCACATCGAGCACCACGCCCAAAGCGGCCAATAAGATGACTATTTATGGAGTCGTCGGGTCCAGTCCGACCATTCCAATCTCCAGCAACAATCAGTAGATCACGGCGAGGGTGTCTGTCAACTAACGCTTGAAGCTGCGAGTAAAACGCCTCTTTATCGTGCTGTTTTGCTGCTGAAGGTGGTGCGTACACAGAGACAAGGGAGATGTTGGTGAAGTGACCCTTCATTTGTATGTAGGTCATACGGTCATTGATAGGTTCCCAAGCATGCGAGGTCCGTTTGATTCGAGACAGCGATTGCCACACCGTGTCTGCCAGAAAAGTCGCGTGAGCCGGTGTGGTATAGGGTGAAGTGTGAGCCGATTCCAGGAATCTTTATTTCTCGAGGGCCTGAGTTAGGAAATCGAACTTCATACAGACAGCAGACATTCACATTGTACCGATTAAAGCTGCGCATGGTCAGACTTTGGGTACCAGGGTCCAGTAACATTCGTACATTCCAGAATCCACTATCAAGAGTCCGTCTCCGATTGAGTTGTCCAGCTCGAATACTATTCGCCCGCAACATTGGACCAAGGTTCCGGGGCGCGTCGGTTCCCGCGGACGCTGTAGCATGGGTCGTGATACTGCACATATTTCATGAGGTTTTTTTAGGAATTTCGGATACAGGCGGGTCCCCAACAGCCGCTCAAATTGTTTGTTTGAGGTTGTCTCCTCGAGGGCTTTGGCTTAAAAGCCTAACCACAAGGCAGAGGCGGCAAACAAACTTATGGCGGTCCGCGATCGTCATGTCACAGTGTCGTCATCTGGTTTTGCGGCGTTTTTTATAAGGCTTTCAGTGCTCCAGACATCAGCCCTCCGCACCCAGGTAGCACTGTCGCTGCTGGTCCGCGACTGCTTATTCGTCAGGCCTGGATCCACTTATTTCTCCGCTAGCCTTCACTGAGGGCCCTTCCATTATCTGCCACCTGTGGACGCGCCGGGTAGCAAGCAGCTATGCTAACGGGCAGCCCGTCTTCCCGGCTAGGAGTTCAACCACCTATGCGATTTATCAATATCTCCTCCTCTCAGACTCCGCTCGGTGGCATAAGTTTACGACCTCCCCGTTTCCTACAGTTTGCGTTTAAAAAATTGCCGCTAAATGGCAGTTGAGTGTAAAATTATTTCTGCAAGAAATATCCCTTGATGTGAATTGATTCCTATAACTAAGACGCAGTTAAGAATAGGATATTTCTACAATCCCTATCTACTTATAAGTGTCCGACAATTGAGGAGAATGTGAAATGGCAAGTTCACATGGAGTCAAGAGGCAAAAGCTGACCCTTAATTGCTGCAGCTGAAAACTGTACTTCTTTAATGGTTTCAAACACAATAGAAGGCCAGATTTTGGTAGGTGTCTACTGGAAAAAAAATGCTGCATAGTGAGCTGCTGGTTCGTAACAATTTTGGCCGAGGCATGAGCTAGATCCAATTTTTCTCATCGGCAGGGTGGGAGGGCAACAAAGGGCCAACACCGACGAGGCTAAATTACTTATTTAAAGGGCAAACCTTGATGCTCGCATATTTCTGCGAGAAGGATTAACAAAGCAGGACTTCTTTCGAAAACAGTCATTAACACGGCCGTTGTATGATTTTCAAGAAAACAAATAACTGCCAAAGTAAGTAAAGCTGTGGTTAAATATAAAAAGAGAGGAGTTGAAGTACGACCAGAAGCATGCTAAATAAAATATCCCACTTTTCTTACGTTATTGATTTCCGGCAACGAGACGTCCAATTTGTCGCACTGAGCTTTAATAGCTTGCTCTCGAGCTTCATTAATGCACCGGCGAATCGCCTCTGCTTTCTGCTCCATAATGCTGTCGTGTTGAGCCTTCAAATTTTCTTCACTATTCTTAACGTCCGCCTCGCTAAAGGAATGAGATGCAGGCGGTCGTTGGTAGGAATTCGCGTCATCGACTGGTGTGGGCATACTTGGAAAGCCAGGATGAGGAGGGTATCCAAACACGCGAGGTGGGATGTGCGATGGTGGTGGTGGCGGTGGAAACGGGGCGGAGGGTACACCATCAGGACCAGGATAGGCCGAAGGAGTTCCCATGACGCCCGGTCTTGGTGGGCACCAGGGAGGCGGGGGAGCAGGGTGAGACCAGGCTCCAGGGGATTGCTGCCAACCATGAGGCCCACCACCTGACGGCGAGCCGTAACGCTGCCAGTTAGGCGCTGAGACACCGCCACCCGACCTGTCGTCCCATGGCGGCGCCCGACCATAGTGTCGGTCCATTCTACCAGCCCCTCCCCACTGATACTTGAGAGAGGAAACAGTTGGAGTCAAAAATATGCCGCTGTTCGCACAAAATAAAACTTTGTGTCTAATAACAAAAATGGCAAGTCACTTACGTTAGGACCGCCAGGACCCAACTGTTGCTGCTGCTTCAAAATTAGACTACGCTCCTCTTCAACCTTATGGTAGTAATAATCACAAAATTCACCACCGTAAAGAAACGAGAATTTCGGGTTATCGCGTTGCTTCTCCTTTGTCATCGACTCAAATTCTGGGCCATTTCGGGCAACAAATTGGGCAAGTTTATCGATAATGTTGCGGGACTCAGCATCGGGCGGCGGCAAGGGGGAATAGCGAGACATGGTCTGTCAAACGATGAAGTGAATAGGAGATCAGTACATATCCGGATACAAACAAAAAAGTAAAAGCGGATCGATAGGATTTTACGTAAGCCACTACTCGATAAGGCAGAAATCCCGTAAGCAGGCGCTATTGTTAAGGCTTCAAATTCGGAGGCACTTAGCTGCAATCCCGAAGTTGCTTCTGTATTTAGACTTTGCTGCAGTTGTGTGATTATCTTATGGAATCAAAGCAGGCGGTCGAAACTTTTGTTTACTTTTATGACTCAAGACTGCGCTTCGCAGGTAGGAAAACTGGCTTATAACGTTGAGACGCTAGGCATTGACAGTGGCCATGGACTCGTATCTCGTTGTTAGAGTGATTATTGCAGGGCCAACTTTTTCCCAAGTTAATGGTCACTCCGAGTTCGGCGAGTCCAGAGGAGAAAAGGCTCAGATTCCGCTGAATGTCCGCGTCGGCTGTGGTCGGTGCGCAGCCATCGGCGACAAGGCCGCGTATCTGAGCCTTCAGGATTATTTACGGCCTGTAGCCTTTCCGGGTGAAGAAACACGCTTTGTTCGAATCTTTCTAACCAAGGTCCTATTAAGACACAATTTAATTTGCTTCGATGTTGAGGAAATATATCGTCTGGGGGTCAAACTTTGACTTATCGCGGCTTGCCCGCATCACCTTGGCCTCGAACCCTACTTTAGGGAACTAGTTTTCGGAGGTATGCTAACTAAGCGATAGGTGTGTAAAACTGCACAAATTATGTCAAGGACAAAACACGGTCAGTGGCAGAAGTAGTATGCATGGAAGATGCCATTAATAGCCACGAACGAAGAGTGCAGGCATTTACAGGGGAGCTAGGGCCTACTGAGGCAATTTCTAAGCGTTGAGTACGATGCTGTAATTGCATGATTGTATGATCCACGGGTTCGCCAAAAAGTCATGAAGGAAGGAAAAGTAACCCGACAATACATTGACGACACTACACAGCTTTTGTTTGAAATGTTCATAAATGTCCAGAAAAGGTTGTCATATGGAAACAAAGCCACCGATTTTGAAATGTGAATTATAGCCTCTGCTAGGGCAGAAGTTTTAACCTGTTCAACTTGGGCAGTAGTACGGGTATCCGGGTACCTAAATGGTAGAAAATGAGTTTTGCGCAAGGATCAACAGGGGGTTTTAGACCCAAAAATAAGCTCTTCCAATTGCTTAGAGTCAAACCGAAAATCAATACCCTGCTTTTACTTTCCATTTGTATAGGGGATCAAAGTGGAATCCAGGAATCTCGACCAAATCGCACGACCCGTGCATCAATGCTATCTGTAATAATATGCGTAGACGTTGAAGCGAAACTTAGTAATCTAGGAAGACCAGTGGCAGAACCTCTGGCAGCGCGACCAGTGGTGAAAGTCATGAAAAGCTGCGGCGAAAGCATTAAAACCCAAATTGCATAAAAAAACTTAAATCTAAAAAGACAAAAGAGGGGTGCAGAAAAGACAGAGGACCATGCAAAAGAACAAAACGCGTAAAAATGATAGAACGAAAAAAAACTGGCATAAAACAACGAAAACATGCCCAAAGGCAAGCCGTCCTCTCTGTTTTAAGTGACATCGTCCTGGTGTGTACGCGGCGGCGAGAGCATGTGCTGTCAGTATATAGTTTCGTGTTCCCCCAAACGGGTTACGCGGCAGATGCGCTGGACCAACACGGGGGCCATATTGGATTCTGGCAGTTGTTATCGAAATGCACACCATAACAAATGCTAACATTTCGGGGTGCGGTAGGAGACTCAGTTGTCGGTGTACGTCGTGCACATTGGGACCCCTGCCGCCTCCCCCCCTCCACGATTTTAGTATGTTAGAACCCTGGTCATTTGCTGCGTGAACCAGGGGGTGTGGAGTGGAGCGCCAAGGTGCGGGCTTGAACGCGCCATCCACCCGCGCCCTCCCTCGCCTCCGATCTTCCTGACTTTGTCTTGACACCGGGGCTCAGATGGGGTAGGGGAGAGTGCGATAGATGCAGCACAAGTATATTACCACTACAAACTAATTCATGTGCAGGTCACCGTGCCTGCTCACCTTGCCGTGGAGCGCACGGTGGACATCGTCGGCAACGACAGTCGAACTGTCATATATATGCTTCGACGAAAGACTGAGTGAGTATTACTTAACTCTACGCAGGCTTACATAACAGTGGGTGGCGTAGACTCTCAAGAGAAATTAAAGCGCGTCTTAAGTAGTCGACATGAGGGGTCTGAAATATTTCCTAAGGCAATTTGTTCGAGGTAATGATAACGCATCCTAAGAGTTCTTTGCCCAACCCTTATACTCATTCCAAATTTGGCCAGCCTCTGGGTGGTGTCCTCAGGAATTATTTACACTAGCATTTTTGAAAAACGTGACATCCTCCCTATCGTGCTTCTGCAGACTGCAAGCTACTGCCCTTGTTATAATGCGGGAAGTTCTAGCCTATTCAATCTTTCCTCTGAACCAGTTGTCCAGTTATGAACTTCTTCGGGGGCTCCATGTCGCCCACGAGGTAAGGATGTATCCGAACAAAAGTACTATGTGGTGCAGAAAGGCTATGTCCGGCGTGTTGGTGCATGTCCCCGCGGATGAGGAAAAGGCTGCTTTTGAATTTCTTCAGCAACTTGTAAATATCGTTTCAGTGACAACAGGATAACGTAGGTGCAAACCCCCACGGTCAGCAAGAGATTCAGCTTGTGGGGTGGATTCGTCACCTGAGGCTGCGCGCAGACCTATTTCTAAGTCCAACACTGGTTAAATTGCGCGGAACTGGAATTTCAGCCCATTCAATGCGATTCCATTCGTCAATCTGCCCAGACACTCTAACAATATTTTCTGATGCAGAAGCATGGTCTTTTGCTAAGTTCAAAATTTCAGTTTAATCTGCGAACAATGGGCAATTCTTTGAGACAAACTCTGGCAGACTAGATGTAAATGATAAGTAACAACGATCCTGTTATGTACCCTTGGAAACGCCGCTGTGGACCAGCAGCTGGGGTGACGTGGCGTCTTGAACACGTATCCAAAAGGCCTTGTTACTTATAAAACACTGAACCCACTTGACCCTGTTTCTGGTTATGACATAAATCAACTCTCTCAATGCGCATTCGGAGACCAACTTCTTCGAAGATCTTGTTGAGGTGTGAAAAGTCAGCCTCAACAGTATTATTGTCCTGCTTCCTATAGTAAAGACTCATGTGGGCTGATTACCTCTTAAGGAAGCCGTGCAAGCCGGGGGGGGGGGCTTATATGGCCGTGTCCGTTCGGGAAGCATCACGGGTAAGCATGGTAACTTTCTACATGAGTACGAAAATCAGACTAGTGGAATTGACTAAACAGCCACCTACGTACACTGGAAGATGAGCCTCTCTCCAAATATCTGAGGTGCTGGCAAGCATTAAGCAAACGGCACTGCAAGGAACCTGGGGTTGTGGTAAACGCGGCAGAAGGACTGGGTGTAAGGCGTCGGGTACTAATGTGGCCTAACATTGTCCTGGAGGTAGGGATAAGTTAACGTGTTTGATCGTCCACATGAAAAGTCTAACTAGACTGCTCAGCCAGTATAGAGGAGGTCTCCTTGTGGCTCCACGTGTAAGGATCGCCGACCTTTATGTGTTTATTTATAGAGTGGGAAGCATGAGGATTAGGTAGGTAGGGCAATTTATGGTTTAGCCTGACTCTTAAACGCTGTAGGATGTACACTAATGCGGTAAGGCGTGAATGTTACACAAACTTCAGTCTAGTGTGTAATTCGCGAAGGCATTTAGTGTCATCGCAATGCATAATAGTGGTTGTAGGTGAAGTGGGGTTTGAGTAGTCAACCAGTGCTTTATGTGAGTAACGAAACTAAGTACGTGCGTTCCATTGGCCTGCTAAGGAACAACTAGGGTCACGGTTTGGATAAGGTTTGAGGCTAGAGCAAAGCGTCGCTAACATTCCGAATGTCATAGGCCCACTTTCTGCAGAACGCCCTCTCACATAACTGGCATTCTCACGTCTCACTCATCGACCGGGATGTCTGTATTAAACAATACAGCACTTTTAAAAGCTCCAAATCATTCTTCTTGAGTATAAAATCCAACCGCATATTAATAAACAATCTTTACTAAGGGCGTTATTTCGTATAACTTCGTTTAGTCCGTCGATCAAAGGCATATTTCAATTTACGTAAATAATGTTTGCATGCGCCCAAGAACGTCTACATATGAGAACGATCTGTACACCACCTATGTCATTTCGCAAGACCAAAAACAATTGAGCTTTGTAAACTTATTTCTGGGGATACAGGCACCCGAAACAAACAACAGAGCTGGTAAGAACAGCCAAGTTTTCGCGCTAGTTCGAGAGCCATTCGATTAACACAAAATGGTTCAATATTGGAAATCACATTACCTGCCTATTTAACACTTGTCTTCAATATATAAAATAGAAAATTAAACCAATAAGTACGAATACTTAGAGAGACTTGCCCTCAAAAGTCCGCAAGCAAACCATCCGGAGTTTTAGTAATTGGCGCTATTTCGTGCTACACACTTAAAGCCACAATTTGCCGAAGTTCACGGTCTCCAAGGTAAATTTATGTTGTATGCGATGTAAGGAGGGTATTGTGCCCCCAAACGGCCACGCGGTGGATGCGCTAACCAACACGGGAGACTGGATCGTGACCCGGCAGATGTTATTGAGAATGCTCTTTATAGCAATTGGAACCCGAGCCAGTTTACGTTGTAGGCTAGATCGTGTGGTGATATTCGCCGTATCGGTCACATGCAGCCTCTCCCACCACCAGTCTTCTTGACTCTCTCCCTCTTGACGTCGAGCACAGATGGAGGGAGGGGAGAGAGCGCGGTGAATGCAGCGCAAGCCCACTATCACTATAAACTAATTCA